TTTTTTTTTTTTTTTTTTTTTTAATTGCGTAAATTATTACATCAGCTTCGAATCCGCTTGAGAAAAAAAAAATACAAAATTATTTTTGATCACTGGGAGTGATAATTTAATAATTTAAATTTAGTTTATATTTTCAATTTTTTTTAATCCATTAATTTGGTTTGGTAACAATATAGTTTTTATATTTTTTTAGTTCCTATTTTTAAAAAATGAATCAAAATTAAATGCCTATTTTTTAATTAAAGATTTTATATTTTTATAGTTTATAAACATGTGTTTTTTTTTTAATTAAAATTAATTTGCAAACTAACAATCACAAAATTAATTTTTTTTTTTTTTAAACAGCAATATATTTCCTTTTTGTGTTGAATTGTAAGGCATCCGTTTTATACACAAGATTCCAACTGTCAAACGATTTAATTATAAGACGAGTTGTATTCCCAATTTGACACCCAACAAACGGCCGTACCTATTTTACAAATTCTCACATTTTATTACATTTATTTATATTATTTTGATTTACTTCAAAATTTGAGGGAACAGAAAATTACATTATTTTATTATTTTTTTAGTACAATTATTTTCTCCTATCACTGTCCTCAAAATTATTTTAAAATAAATCTTATTCCTTTAAAATATGGTAATTAGAAATCAACATCCATAAATCCATAATTAGGATGGATTAATTGGCATATATATCTCAAGAATTAACAAGAATACAACCCTGTACACTGTAAAAAAAATAAGTGAAAAAATTAGGACAAAAATGATAGTTAAAGATAATTAATAACTCGAACAATCTATTCGAAAGATCAACAGACATTCCGACATACCAACATGTTTTAAATTGCAATACATCAATATCAATATTTCATAAAATATATTTCCCATATCGCGTGTAGAACATGCACCCCTTCAAATACACTACCCCTCCCCGAACCCCTTCGAATCCATAGGGTCCAAATTATAAATACGGTTAAACGAATCTTCGATCGAGAGGAAGGCTCAGTAGCCATCAAAGTGATTACTTCAAATATGCTAACAAACCTATAAACTCAAATGGTCTAGCCTTGGCAAATAAAAAAAAAAAAAAAAAATTGGAAAAGAATAAAGAAAAGCAAATTACAGATCTTATGTAGCAGACGTAGCAGCAGCGTCCTAGCATAGATGGAAGGGAATTTGACGGGAGTTCTGATGCCAACCCACAGGAACTAATGTTTCTCCGTCAGAGATGGAAGTACTTTCAAGCAGATGGGAAATAATCCAAAATCATCTCAACAATGGGTGCAGAACTCGAACACGATTGCAATATCAAAAGAATCATGGAAATTGGTAGTCGATATGGTATTCACCATGGCAGGAAAATACCACTTTGGGGCACGGAAGAGAACTCCAACTAGAACTCGGTCGATAAGAAGTTGCTCATCTTGAGACAATTGACTTAATAGACATAGCCAAGAGAGCATCGCTCAGCAACCAACCCACCATACAAGTAATCGCAATCAGGGGAGAAGAAAATTAACATGTATAAAAAATGAAATAAAAGTTACTCCTAGTCTTAATCATCCTCACTTGACAGGAAACCATAATTCTCAGAACTCAAATGATTATGCGCACCAAAAAAAAAAAAAAAATGGTATGGGAAACCAATCCTCCTCCTAATATGATATGAATGCCATGAAGAGAAAATGTTATGCAGAGAATGTATTTTGAAGAATGCCTAAAAACCTGATTTTCTGTACAAGAATCCCACCCCAAACTTCTGTAGAACAGATTTCATGTACCTGCCAGAAGCATTTGATGCCGTTCCTCATGCCTCAAAGTTTATAAAAAAGGAATCTCATAAACATTATGAGAGCGTGCAACACAACCGCAGAGATTCAATCAAATAGTAGCATCTACAGTTGTAGTAGCCGGCTGGGACCTACAACCTTTCAAATTGAAGATCCCAGAGGTGGGGGGTGTAGAACGAAATCTCAGGATAGGGCAGAAGCAGAAAAGCAGTGAAGCAGTACGAGACGAGACGAGACAACACCTCAAAAAGGAAAAAAAACATACATCTTTAGCAGTGCCCTTCAAGACATTCGCTCAATAAAATTATCAAAATAAATATGAACTGAAAATATTTTAGTATATAGATTCCTACGACTATACTGAAGGGATAAAGGAAAAAACAATTCAAATTAAAGATAGAAAGGACTTATCCAAACTCAAAAGTAGAGGCTGAGGGCGTCGCCCGATTTTAAAAAGGTCCGTTACGAAGTCCAAGCACTAAAAACACATAGAATCGGAGTAATCCTCTAAAAATCCTGTGTTTAACTAAGGCAGGTTGAGAAGTCTGTAGTCCTCAGCTCCTGCTCCGACGGCGGTCCTTTACACCATTTCTACACAAGATTGGAACAGTGAATATTAAAACATGTTAATGCTTTGAGTAAAAGGGATATCTGAGCAAGCATGCAGACCGCCCATGCAAAATTGGTGCACCATGAAGATCTTACACATGACTATTTAGTCAAAGAAAAACAAACTTAAAACATCTAACATTCATAGGGGCAACCGTGGGGGAAAACACCCAAAATACAGTAGAGAAAAAAGAATCCTGAGTTTAGTAAGAACCCAAACCAAATTTCATGCATCCAAGAAATAACAGAAACGAAAGGGTTTTTCTTTTCCTTTTTTTTTTTTTTTCTTTCTTTTTTTTTTTTTTTTTTT